CCCTAAATCATGGAGACATCTATCCCCCACCCCCCCTCCCAGCTCACTAGCCACCCTTTCTGGACAAACAGCTTGCAGCCTGCTTCTGTCTGATCTTTTTCTAGTAATGAAGACTGGTGCTGCAGCACTGCCAGCCAGTAGTAAGAAGGCCCAGCCTCCTGCGACACCTCTCCCAAAAGCCCAAGGGGCTGCAGAGAGCAGCGACGATTCCAGCGAGGAGTCTGACTTGGAGGAAGAGGCGCTGACCTTGGCACAGGTAGCCAGGCCATGCGGCTGGGGAGGAGGTCAGGGAGGAAGCTCAGCTCAGCTCAGCCTGGCCCACTGAGCACTGGGGCTCTGAGGCCGTGGAGCTGGGTATTGATAGTATGAGACACCCTCTGTCTGGCACACTTGGCCTTCAAGGCTCTTGATTGCTCCAAAATGGGGAGCACCCTCTAAGCACAACTCGTGAGCCATGCTGTGCAAGAGGTACGGCCGTGGCTCTGCCCAGTTGGCTCCGCGGGTCACAAGCCACTGGAAATCATGCCAGCCAGATGGCTGCTTGGCCTCAACAAGAGGAAGCGCCTGCTCTCAGGCCTAGTCCTGCTACAGCAAGGTGTCTGTGGGTGCATCTGCATGTGTGCATTCACTGCACAGTAACCGAAATTGCTGCACAGTACATGCACGTCTACACATGCGTGCCCGTACTGCGCAGTAAATACGGCGACTTTACGCCGACTTGAGCATATATTTGATACCTGCATGATGTAGGTATCAAATTTATACCCGATTAGTTACTACGCAGTAATGCACATGTAGATGCCTCACTGCACAGTAACATTGTGTGTGCAGACCAAGTTGGGATGAAAGGTAGCCCCTAGTCAGTCCACGCACAGTGTTAATGCATTTTAACATCTGTCTGTGTAGACGCTGACCTACTCCCACTTACTGTACAGCAAATTTAAGCCGGTGTAAATGCACGTGCAGACACGCCCTGTGACACCCACAGCTCTGTGCTTGTTGGGCGCGGGCGGCCGGAAAGGAGCTGCCCACGTCGTTCTGTGCTGCAGAGAACTAGACAGCGACGGCCTCCCTCACTGGCAGGCAAGCAGCCAGCGCGAACAATCACTTATTAAAGCCTGTTTATTATATAGATTATCCTATGAAATAAAGTGGCTGTTGTAATTGGAGCTCTCGGATCATGGCTGGAAAAGGAGGAAAGGCACATGGGTCCCTTGCCCCCGGGCTGGTATCTTTTATGCCAGATGCTGTCTGCGAGGGATGTCTGAGCCCCCGGCCTGCTCAAAGGGCTGGGAACAGGGGAGGCTGCCCGCAGCAGCCCTGCTGGTGTCTGAATGCCAGGAGACTGATTGCTGCTCCTCTGTCCTTTCCCCTTCTGCAACCCTCCCCGGTATGCATTCGCTCCTGCCCTCTGCCGACGGGGTCCTGGCTCTCTGCCTGGTGCTTGTGCCACGGCTGTGTCTGCTCCATTGCAAGTAGTAGGCCTGGGCTCTGATGAAACGATGGCTGGTCAGCTGGCTGCTGTAACCATTTGGCATCTGAAAAAAGCAGGGGGCTGGGTTTCACAGGGGCCTGGTGTCCTGCTGTGCAGCCAGCGGGCTGGTTTCCACCCCTGCTCCTTCCCTGTGAACATGGAGACTCTGCTTAGGTCAGGATTGTCCATGTCCACGCAACGGGGCTGAGTTCTCTGTAAATACCTTCCTGGTTGACTCTGAAGGGGTCGGTCGGCCTGTCTGTCTGCGCGTCCTTAAGCCCCGCTCAGTCTTGACTTGACTCCTTTCACATCTTGCTTAGAAACTGGTTCAAGCGAAACCCAAACCAGCAGCGGCTGCCCCAGCAGCGAAGACGGCAAACACCGTGGCTGTGAAAGCCAGCACCCTGCGGAAAGGGGCGAACGCAGCAGCCCCCAGCCCTGTAAAGGCCGCCGTGACCCTCTGCCAAGCAGCAGAGACCTCGAGCTCGGGTTCCTCGGAGAGCGAGGAGGACACGAAGGCCGTGAGTCAGGTGCGAGCGGGGCCGTGTGCCTCTTCCCACAGGGAGGTGCAGCAGCAGGGATTGTGCCCGGTGTCTGTAGGCTTGTCGCAGTGGAGGTTCCCCCTTGAGGGGGTGGTGTGAAGGCAGGGGGAAAGGCAGGGCTATTTTCATAGCCGCTTTTATAGGAACCAGTAGGCAGAGCAGAGGAGCACAAGAAGAAAATCCCTGTTGCCTTCACCGAGGAGGCTGCGGTTCCCTCTTTCAGACTCTGTCCTGAAAGCTCCCATTTGCTCCGTGCCTGGTCACCGTGCAGGGCTGCACCTCATGTCCGGGTCCCTTCCCCTTAGTGCTGCATCCCGGTTTCACCTCCGTTCTTTTGCACCGAACTGCCTGGTTCCCTCTTCCATTTCGGGCCTAAACTACCGCTTCCTCCAGCCCAGCCCTCGCATGTCCCCCCTCTCGTGAGCTGGGGGGTAACAAGAACACAAGCGGTGCAGCCCCGGTCACCCTCTGATCCTGTCACAATTTCTAGCCTGAGCCTTAATTTGTCAGGCACATTTGTTAAGGGAGCTTCTACCTTGCCCGTGCGAGGCAGGTGGCTCGGTCTTTTCTGCCTACGGGGAAAACAAGGCACTGGTTGTTTAAACAGCTTTACTATGGCTTGTAACACCGGGGAGCGGACTTGACGTTGCCTCGGCCTCGCCTGCAAGGCCATCCTGCTCTGACGTGACCCTGGGGGCTCCCTGTTGTTCAGGGGTTTCTGAACTGGCCTCTGTTCATCCTGACATCTCTCACTATTTGTCTTCCAGCCCCTTCTCCCCTCCAGCTTGAAGCCGGGGACTCCTTTCAGTAAAGCAGCCACCCCTGCCAAGAAGGGTCCTCAAGGAAACGCTGCCCCACCGAAGAGCACATCCGCCAGGGGCAAAGCCCCTGTTGCAACCCCAGGAAAAGCGGTTCTCCCCACTGCAGACAAGGCCAGACCGAGCCCGGCTGGCCCCCCCGGGGCCAACAAAGGACAGGAGAGCTCGGACAGCAGCGACTCCTCGGAGAGCGAGGAGGAGGAAGCAGCCCAGCCGCCCCCAAAGCCTGGTAGGCGACACTGCTCTGGGAAGCTTCGGGGAGTGCTTGGAGCAGGTTTGCCGTGCACCAAGCCAACTTGACGAAGGGCTTGTCATGCCGTAGACCCGAATTTGGCTGGCAGGAGGGCCGCTCGTTCCTTGTTAGCGATGAGGGGGGGTGCTGTAGAGGGCATGTCTCCTAAAGGTTCCTGGGCACATGGAGCTTGGAGGCTGCCAGCGATGAAGCCCTCTGAGGCATCTCAGCAGGAGGATCTCACCAGGCAACTTACTTCTCCAGCAGGCGCGCCCCAGAAGCCGGGGAGGATAAATGAAGCCGAGAGCTCATCCTCTGAGTCCAGCGAGGATGAGGAGCAGCCTTCACAGGTACCATGTCCTCCAGGCTGGGGTCTGCTGGCCCCCGGCATCCATCCCTGAGGAGGGAGTGGATGCTTATGAACAGATTTGCCCCAGGCTTGAAAGATTGCAGCTGCCTGTGGACGTGTTGAATGAGGGGCCCAGCCATGATGTGTCCACTGGGGAGAAACCTTTCCCTGGCACGGGGAGACGACAAACCCCACAGGGCTCGCTCCTGCGGCTGCACTGCAGTGCCCAAGGAGAACCTGGTTCCCTGCAGCGCTGAAGCAGTTAAACCAGGGAAACCATGTCATACCTTGAGCAGCCACTTTTATTTGTAGCCTAACCCATTCCTAAGTCATCCGACCTCCCCTAAAGTGGTTGCATGGGGCCTGCAGACCATCTGTGACCCATTAGCTTTGCCTGCAAGCCTCGGCCTTTGCTGACAGGCCAGAAACCTCCCCTGCATGCCTGCACTGGGGGCAGGGGGGAGCAAAGGCGAACGTGTTGCAGTCAGCTGGATGTGCCATAAACATATCAATCATATACACACCCTCTCCCCAACAGCCTCATGCCATGCCCTGCCCCTACGACACTGCCTGGGTGTGTGGCCAGAGAAGGGGTCCCCTCTGAGCCTGGGGTGCAGGGATAGAGACTTATTCCAATGCCCTCGTCCTTGTGGTGCAGCTTTGCCTGCTGGCGCCCCGGCTCGCATCCTCAAGCTGCAACTGTACCATGGCACAGAAATAGTTTAGGCCCTGGGGAGCCTGCCTGTCTGGAGGTCCATGCCTGGTGCAGTTGGGGACGGTGTTTAAAATGGGCCTGGTTGGAGGCCAGAGGGTATGATGAGCCCAGTATCTTTGTGTGTCTCACCAAGTATGTACATGTGCTCTCTAGTCCCTCCTAGCAGGGTATCCCGGCCTGCTGAAAGCCACTGTGACTTCAGAAGTACAGCAGGCAGGGAAAGTGGCTGCGGTTGTGGCTGCAGCTGTGGCTCCGGCTGACGCTCTTGGGAAGGCGGCCCAGGCTGACATCTCCGAGAGCGAGAGCAGCAGCGACTCGGACACGGATGTTGAGAAGACCCCGGCCCTGCAGAAAGTGGGTGAGTCCAGGGCGGTGCTAGACTGGGCTGGGGAGAGGAGGCTGAGACTCGGCTCCCAAATGTAAGCAGCTGCAGAGGCGGCTCCTAATACCAGGGCAGCTCAGGGCTCCTGCCTGACAGTCGCATCCTTTCCAGTGGGAGGTAGAGGAAGCCCTGTTAGCCGGAGATTTTTGACGGTGGAGAACGGCACTTTGGAGACGAGCCTGCCTGGGCCAGAGCTGTGCTGGGGGGCCTGGCGGGTCTGCTTTGACGCCGAGTCCGGGTGAAAAGCAGGAGCCGGGCGTCCTTGCGCCCATCCTCCGCTTGGGCGAGGCACGGTGTGCTGCTGCCCCCTGCTGTCCACCTCGCGAGACGTGGCAGGCCGTTCCCTGGGGCTGGCACGTCCCTCGGGCTGGCTGCTCACGGGGCTTGCATGTGCAAGGAGCTCTGTATCCTCCTTTGCAACAGCAGCGTGCGGCGCACCTAATAGTTAAACCTAAGAAGCGGGTAGCAACAAGGGCCCTCACAATGTAAGGTACGACCCTAAATATGCGTCGCTCAGAGCACTAATAATACAAAAAAAAGCATTAACACCCAGTGATTCAGGCTGACTTCAGACTCGCGGCCCCCCCTCAGAAAATGTCAGCTTGGTTTTCACTCCTTTTGTTAACCACAGGAAAAAAAAGTAGAGCAGTTCTTCTGTTGCAAAGAACTCAGCCCACAGCAGGGCAGAAGGGTTTTACACTATGATTTCCTAGTTGAAATATCTGGGTTTATCTTATGAATCCTGTTTGCACAACCTTGACCGGCACCCTTGAAAGGCTCTTGAGGCACCCTGGTTGAGATCCAGCGGTCTATCCAGTGTGTTCCCTGCTAGTGCAAATGCAAGCTCGGTGCTCACAAAAGGCAGCGATTCATAGCACTGCGCTGACGTGGGCACTGCTCATGCTGCCTGCTAATGTGCTGGGGGCTGCAGCTGCAGTTCCTGGTCCTTTCTGATTTTAGGGACTCAAAGTGCTTTAATTGCTCTTCTAAAAAGCAATTAAATTGCTTTTTAGCAATTGCTCCTCCCACTCAGTGAGCAGCAGGAGGACCAACTGGCCTTTTCCTTTGTGACTCAGACCCCGACATGGGCGCATGGAGGTGATGCACTTCCCCGTGCAGACTTATAAAGCCCTTTGTGCTTCTCTTGTTCCTCGGGCTGAATCAGACATGCTACCTTGTGGAGTTTGCTGCGCGGGGCGGGGGGGCTTGGACGGGTCCCGGCCTCTCACTGGGGTTGTAAATAAACCTCCCTGGGTCATCGTGTCATTAAACTTGTCTGTGCAGGAGGAAAGCCGCTGTCGTTGTCTTCTGGGCAAGAACCGATCACGCCAAAGGTGGCTTCAGGCAAAACAGCTGCAGCAGGGAAAGGGGGCCATGGAGGTGCCATTTTGAAACCCACCCTCACCAAGAAAGCCCTGGCAGCACCACAAAATGACAGCAGTTTGAAGGGGACGCCAACAACCATGTCCCCCTATGCCCTGCTGTCCATATCCCCCTCGAAAGGGGAGAGCTCCAAAAGCGAGAGCGAAGACGAGGCTACCACAGCCGCCAAGGTCCCGGCTGGCCCAGCTGCAGGTGAGCCAGAGGGGAAGAAGACAGCGGGCAAACAGAAAGCCAAGGGGGGGCCAGGCAAGGCTCCGAAAACACCCCAGAGCGGTGACAAGGAGAACAAGAAACAGAAGAAACCCTCACTGAAGCGGAAGCTGGAAGCAGAGGATGGAGGCCTTGGTGCCACGGGCGCGCCCAAGGAGAAGAAGCAGAAGAAGCAGAGCGGCCTCGAGCCACCCAAGAAGAAGAGCAAAAGGGCAGATGGTGCCAAGAAGTCGCCTGGCAGCAAGGAGAAAAAGAAATCCAGCAAAAGTAAGAGTCTGGTGGCAGCTACTGATACAGGGTCCCCCAGAAGCACACCCCGCTCCCCCAGGGTGGTAGGGCTGGGTTAGCACTGTGGGGCAGGCATCATCCAGCGAATAAATGGCACTCCAGAGAGCACTTGGCTGCTATTCCTTGCTCTCCCTTCCAGTGTCTCATGCGCTCACGGTACTGGGGCTGTTTGACCCTGAAGGCTGGTGGCAGGAGGGGGACTTGCATGCTTCAGAAATCCCCTCTCCTGCTCCCTTGTGTCCTGGTCCGTATGTCCAGGCTCCCTTTTTCCCCTAGACATACATAAAAGCAGCATGAAGTTGCCTGGTTTGGCATCCGTGCTCTCCTGAGGTGGGGCAGGAGTGCTCTCACCCTGCCTTTGCTTTATTACAGCACCACGGTGCGGGGTGAAAAGGGCGGAAGGCAGCTTGGTGCCGTTAGCACAGTGGGAGAGACTGGAGCTGGATGGGCACGTGGTGCTCCCAGTTAGAAGAGAGACTCTTGCCCCTTCCACCTCTCATGAAGGCTTTGCCTTCTGTTCCACCCTCCTTGATCGGGAGACGCAGCCTGCATGGGGGTGGTGGGTCGGGCATGGGTTTGGGGTCGTCCCGGCTTGCTGGTGTTTGAACCAGAGCAGCAGTTGACCCTAAGTCTGTGCAGTGCCGCTGTCCTCCCAGCTCTGCTTTCCTTTCGCTTGCCTCTGGTGCTTGGAAAACCACTTCGCTGCCCCTCTCCAGGGGTGGTTAATGGACAGTGCTGGCTGCACGTGGTCCTGGCTGTGTTGCACGGGTGGGGCTGAGGGTTTCTAGACCACTGCTGCCAGCTGTGGACCCAGCACCGGAGACACCTGCATCATTTGCATGTGCTCTGAGCCGTGTGTGATGAAACAGGGGGGTGCTTAGAGCTGCAGCTGCTTCGTCCTAGGTGCCCCCCGGGTGGGCCAGAGCAGTGGGATAAGTTGGTCCCCTAGGAACGGGACTGGGCCGTTACCATCACCATTTTCTGCCCTGCAAGGGTGGGTGAGCTGCCACCCAAGTGGTGACCCCTCTTCTGAAAATGCCCAACCTTGTTCCTCACTGGAGGAGTCTGACCTGGGTGACAGCACTGCCCCCTGGTCCCTTCTCTCATGTGGCTTCTTGTCCTTTCTTCTCCTTTTTAGAAAAGAAGGCTGTAAAAGACAAGAAGAAGAAAAGCAAGAAGTCTTCTTCTGGGCTGGAGCTAGGTGCAGATGGCTCTTCTGTTCACAAGAAGAAGAAAAAGAAGGTGGGTGTGGACGTTGTTCCTGTCCGTCAGGAACTTGTAGCACAAAATGGCCAGTGTCCCAGGTTACCCAGAGGCGAGGGCCAGTCCAGCTGCTCCGAGTCATGGGGGAGACACCTCTGCTGGGTAAGGGGTAGAGGAGGCTAAAGGTAGCCCAGGAGACCATGTTTTGGATGCCCCCTGAGCTGGTGGGGTAGCTGGGGCAGCCATCCTCTCTGTCCTGCCCCACCATATTGGCAGTGTGGGGGTAGGCTCTGCTCTCCAAACTGTCCTCTCTCCCGAGGAGGGAAGTGTAGCTTTGCTCGGTGGGGCTGCCAGGCCTGCCCCCATCATCAGGTAGTGTGTGTGTGTGGGGGGGGGGGGGGAAACCCCAGCAACCCTTCCCAGCTTGCTTTGCTGTCTTGGAGAGAGGAGGCTTCTGCAGCCCAAAGCTGGAGGGGGCAAGGGAGATGTGGGGGGGAGGCTGGACAGTGCGGGAGTGATGAGAGCAGAGTCTCTGGACCCCACTAGAAAGCTCGTCTATCCCAGCCCAGAGAGCTGATGGAGGGGGAGAGCTGGGAGGGTGCAAAGAAGCCTCCAGTGGCCGACACGCTGTGGGACTGGCCCTGCGGGGTCCTCTACATGCAGCGCTTATGAATGCACGGCCAGTGAAACCATCATCTCTCTCTGCTTCCTCTTAGAAGAAGAAAACCTCCAAGCCGGCGGGATCCTCGTGAGGAGGTACGTGTCCCGTGGGGTTGGCCCTTCAGAGTCTCGAACTCCAGTAACCCGAAGCGAGTGCTTTTAAAGACCCATTGTGTTTTGAGAACCTGCCCTTCAGGCAAGCAGCATCTAACACGACAACCGCACAACAGGCAGAGGCGCGTGCATGCACACATGCACACGTTTCTCTCCGGGAGGGCTGTGCTGTGCTGGCAGACGCATGTTCCTAATTTTGCTCCCCATCCCCCCCACTAAAAGCCACTCTCCAAGCTCCCTGTGGCCAGAGTAGCTGGATGGTTGCCTTCTTCCCCCTCCTTGCATTGTACTTGGCTTTAGCTGAATTCACAGGGACTGAGCCAAAGCCAAGCACTGCTTTGCAAGCCTGCAAGGGTGAAGCAACACGGTCTTTGTCTGGCTGAGGTATGGGCAGCTTAAGAGGAGCTTGTGAAGTTTTATTTTCCTTTTTTGCTCCCTGAACGGAAATCCCCAAGCTCTTAAGCTTATGGTTCCCACAGGCAGCAGGAGTGCAGTGAAGTGCGTCTCCCCTCCTAGCTGTCATGCATCAGCCTCGGCTTAAGCTGCAGGTCCCATGACCTCCCCTCCCTCCGCAGCTTCTCGCCCCACCAGTTCTGCCTGGCTTCTGGCACCCTTGGCCCAAATGGTGTCGACTTGTCCCTGCTGCTTTGGAGAAGCCTGCGGACAGGCTGTTCAGAGAAGCGAAAGCAGCTCAGGATTTCCCCGTTGGAGGCAGCATCTTTTTCTGTCCTCTGGGGGTGAGGGGTTAAGTTGTCCGTATCTTTTTGGTTGTCCCCCCACTTTGGTCAGTAGACTTCCTGCCTGACCAGGCATGGCTAGGGAGGTTGCAAGGGTAGCACGTGGTCCCCTGGCAGAGAGAGGGGATGAGTTGTACCCCTGCTGCTGCCTGCGGGTGCCCATTATATGAACAGGTTGGGGTTTTCCATTCCTCTTGCACAAGGGCCCTAAGACCCAGGAGGAAAATCCAGCACAAAATTCCAAGTAAAGCAACTGCTTTGGAGCATGCATGGAAGGGAGGGGAGCTTTCTGTCTCTGGGGCAGCATTAGGCTCCCCAAGCTTCAGACTATCGTACGACCGCTGGGTGGGGGGGACGAGGGGTGGCGCGTGGCTTTGGGGGAGTTGGCTGCTCATTGTGGGACTGGGACGCGCATGTTCCCCCTCCTCTCTTAACTTGCGTTTCTCTCTTGTGCCTAAAGCGCCGCCTGCCCCATGACTGCCGACGGTGAATGAATGGAGAAGTGTGGAAGTTGGAAAAGGGAAGCCCAGCAACATGAAAACTGGTTTTTTTGTTTGTTTGTTTTTTTTAAATCCTTTAAACTTCTAAATTGTAATTTATAAGGTCTTTTAACTGTGACTTGTAGAGCCGAGCGTTGTAACTCTCTGCCACCAACGCTTGGCTGGGGACAGAAGAAGAAAAGCTGGATGTCTTTTGCCCCTGTTCCCGAAGGCCCCCGTCTGCCATTGCACTATTCCCAGAGAAGGAAGCAGCCCTTGGGAAGGACAAGCAGCGCTTCCCCCTCGCGGAGGAGACTATGGCTTCCCCTTGCTGAGAGGATGATGCAGCCATCTCGTTCCCCTCCCTCCTCGCCCCAGAGCTCTATTTTTCAGAGGCAACTTCCACTCTTTGTGCGAGGGCCGCATCTGTCTTTTTTGCTACCTACTGAAACATGGTTCTTTTTTGGGTTCACTTTTTATTACAGATAAAAACAAAAATGAGAGTTCACTGGGTCTCGCCCTCTCAGCGTCTGTGTTCGCTTAGTCAGGCCTCTGAGGCAGGGGTGTCCCTGGCTTTTCCTGTGCGTGGGGGAGCTGGTCTCAAAGGGAAGATGGTGGGAGGACGGGTGAAATTCTCTCCCGGGGCCTTCGTCCGTGAGCCTTCAGCAAGAAGGTAGCACCGCTGGCTCTAATGGAGGTCTTGGCATGTCGCCGAAGCCTCGGCTGCCTTGGCTTTGGTGTGAGGGAGTCCAAATAGGAACGGGGGTGGTCTCAAGCTGGGTTAGTGAATAGCCCCAGGGGGTTTGCTGCTGTAGGTGACCTGAGCTTTGGCTTCTTTGGCCTTTTCCCTCCAGTTAATGTGAGGCTTTTAACTTGTATGGCAGGAGAGGACAGCTGGATGAAAGGGACTGTTGGGTGAAGGAGGTGGGTATATAAAACCCCTTCCCCCTAACGTAACAGGAAGGCAGAGGGTTCCTACGTTCCAGCCTGTGCTCATGATGGGTCAAGGCCCCTTCTGGTAGCCAGTCATTTTGGGGGTACGAGGAACCCTCTGGCCACCGTCTCCCCCAGCTGCTGTAAATACTGCAAAGCTGGGAAGGAGCACGGGGCTCTGGCCGGCGGGAGCCGTAGTGTGAGGTGTTGTGCCAGGAGTGGAGCAGTCGACTCATGCTCTCAGTGCTCTTGGGTGGATAGCTCTTGACCCTACGCCCCTTCACAGGGGAGAAGTGGATGCCCTTATCCAGCTAGTGTGTGTGAGGGGGGCAATAGGGACAGGGCGTGCGCATGCAGCATGTTGGCTTTGCTGAGCAAGTGAAGCCAAAGTTGTCTGTCTGGTGCTGGGGCAGGATTTGAGGCTTGGAGCCCCAAAGAAATCCCTCGTGGCGCTGCCCTTCATTGCACAGCTCCTGCGGCCCTTGCATGCCCCATGAAAGAGCTGTTGGCCTAGAGACCCTTTAGCAGGGTGGTGCTGCACCAGACCCAAGAGGCACCCAGTGTTTCAGAGCCTGGGACAGCCAATCCTTTCGTGTGTTACAAGCAGCCAGGCTCCAGTCTGGGGGAGGGTACGGGGACCGTTGCTGGTGGTCTGGGAGCACAGCGCCTTCATGTAGAGAGCCGGTGATCAGATGTGCCTGTTCTTGGGGACAGGACTGCAGGTCTCAGCTGCCTTGGGAAAGCCCACTGTCTGCTGAAGGCTTCCTACTCCATACCCTCCTAGCAGGCCCTAGCTATAGTCCCCCTCCCCTACTCCAAGTGTGAGTTAAAACAGAATCGGTAAGCACGGGAATGCGGGTGTAATCAATTGACATCATCTGAAAGAAGAATTGGTAAAGGCACTTGGCAGGAATTTTGCTTCTGGCGTCTGATCTCAACTTCCAAATCCAGGAGCCGCTGTCTGGTATTATTGCTGGATGTGGGGGTACCATCGACCCTGTCGGGGCATTTGTAAAGATTGCAGCTTTTGATGAATTGCTGTGCCGTGTGTTAGGCATTGCACTCACACAGGGGCTATCCAAGATGTTCATCTTGTGACGGGTTTTGAAGCATCCATCTCCACATCTAAGTTTGTTCGGCCTGACCCACACTTTTCTGTCAAGGTCGTGCTTAAGGTAGGGGGACTCATCTGGTGCTGGGATAAAACATGGTAGGAATAGATCTACCCACTAAAAGAAGAGGGGAGTTACCAGGCCAGGTCTAGAGCATGCCTTGGCCAAAAAGGGATAAGGCAAGTGCTAAGGGCTAGGGCAGTGCAGAGTCTGTTCAAAGCTACAGGCAGTGGCAGGACAAAAGGGAATTGGTTCCCAGCCCTGTGGCCTTCCCTGCTAGGTGGGGTCCAAGGGAGCAGAGATTGTCCTGCTTCAGTGACCACTCCAGGAAGGGGAGTGAGTACTTGTCTGCATTCGCCAGTGGAGGCTTCTGGGGCTGGCTGGCTGCATGCTCCCTCCTTCCAGACTTGGGAATAGCTGAGCTCCCCAGGGGCGAGGGGGGAGGAGCTGTTTAGGTACTAAGCAGCGTGACTGGATGGGGAGAGCTGGTGGTGTGTGGAGCACTGAGAGATGCTCTGAGAGGGAGCATGGAGCCCCTCCACCATGGAAATATGGATAAGGGGGTGCGGGCACATGTGCATGCATGTACACGTGCAGCTCCGTGCACGGAGGGGCATGGACAGGCTAAAAAAACACGAGAGCCTGACGGATGGAATAATGAGCCAGCTTGCACAAGCAGTCTCCATGTCAAACGTTTATTTGAAATCAACTTCTTTCCCTTGGAATCAAGGTCGGGATCACACACATTCGCACCCAGCGTCTAGCTCCAGGATTAGCTCTTACCCTCCCCATTATAGAAACATCCAAATTAATCCAAGTTTCTAATTTCTTTCCTCTTAACCTTTATCTGCCTATGGGTTTAAAAACAAAAGAAAGGAAGCCTGCACTCCTCTAGGTTTCTAATGTCTCTGCAGCTTGCCTATTGCAGTTAAAAAGCTTGGAGCTCTGTTGCTGCTGCATTCAAGGTCTGTTCAGTATAAGAAAGCAGTAAAAGGCCTTAGCATGAAATCATCTCTATCCTTATCTACAATCTCCTTGACTGGAGAGGCTTTCCCCCACCATACAAAGGTGGTCTGTGTGCTGGGAGGTACTGGGCCATCTGATCCAGTGACCGCTGCCTGCAATGGGTTATTCCATAAAGGAGAGAAAATGGAGCATGTGTCCCACCTTCTGTATTATCTGCCTAAAAACTGCTCTGAGGCTTACTGAGCTTACAGGCTATGCTGCAGATAGCATCAAATAGACCAAGGGTCTACTCAAAACACCTGTGCGGGTGTCTTCAGCTGCCTGATTAGCCAAAAGGTGCCCAGGGGTCTATGCATTGAACTGCCCCATCCGCCTCGGCTGGAGGTGAATACAAGGGCACACCTGTGCTTTCTTGTCTAAAAACCCTCCTAATATAAAGCTGGGTTTCTGCAGTGCATCTTAGCACGGGGTGAGAAAGAGTCACCAGCAAACAAGGATTTACAACCAACCCAACGTCCTGCCCTGCTAAGGGGATAAATATTAATAAATGCTGAACAGAGGAGCTCAGAGGCTGCTGCTGTTAATATGATTCAGGAAAGCGGTATAAAAGCATGAGGGAAATAGAGCAGGGATGTGAGCTTTGCCTCTGCGTCGTGGTGGCTTTGCGTCTTGGTGCAAGAGGCCAGAGGTGCCCGGCATCTGCCCCTACTTGGTGATTTCTGGGGAGACACGGAGGAAAGAAAGCAAGGGATGAGAGGGGTGGAAGCAATGCTCAGTACCCCCAGCTGCCTTTCTTTCAGTGGTCAGAACATTTCTTCCTCCTCCATTCCCTGCATGCTGATGCCAAAGACAAAGCCCCTGCCCGCCCAGATCCACAGCAGTCTTATGCTGTGATACAGCCCCGAGGATGGGATTTCACCCCAGCATCGGTGACAGCCCCCAGCATCCCCGCAGGGGCAGGACATAAATCCCTGCTGGATTCTTCTTGCTGCTTTTGGTCCCAGCCCAGTATGTGGCCAGGACCACGTATGCCTGGGCCTTTGCCTCTCATCTTTGGGCGTATCTACACCTCCCAACCATCTTCTGCCCCAGTCCACATGCACTCCCCCATTTCCCAAACCTGAGCACTATTCATTGCCCCTTCCATGCAGCCCCCTTCACCACTGAGCTGCCACAGCTGGCGATGCTGGACTGGCGTGGTCTCATACCTTTGTCCAGCTTCAGCTGCTCCACGCCGGAGAACAGCAAGTCCTCGGGCTCTTCACCTGCAGGGAAAGGCAAAGACAGCTTCAGCATTGGCAGCCAGCCGTCAAAGCCTACCCAACTACCCAACCAAGCTAGCCCTGTCCCTCCTACCCCATATCAGCCTCTACTACGGCTACGTTCACATGTGATTGCCACCAGCCCCAGACACTGAAGTAGGCTCAGAAATTCCTCTGCACCAGCATCAGCTCATCTAAAGTGTCTCATTTCTCTGGGCCTCGCTACCTGCTGGGTTTGGGATTATCTTGTTCATAGATTCATAGATGCTAGGGTCGGAAAGGTCCTCAACAGATCATCAAGTCCGACTCCTTGCCATGGCAGGAAGGAGTGGTGGGGTCAGATGACCCCAGCCAGATGCCTACCCAGCCTTCTCTTAAAGACCCCAAGGTAGGGGAGAGCACCCCCTGACTCTTCAGGGGGCCTGGCATAACAGTGCGATGAAAATGGGGAAATCTTAAATCACCTCCTCTTCTGCCTTTGCAGACAAAGACCCTGAATATATTCCAGGGAGGCTCGCTGGGAGTGCGTGGGCTCAAGCCCACATTGGTCACAGCTGAGATCGTCCTACTGCTCTGGTTCTCTAAAGTAGGGTCACCACACATGATTTCCACACTGGGACGATCTTGGCCATCTCCATGTCATGAAGACAGCAAGGATTGAAGCTGCTCTTCCTACATTTTTTGCAGGACTCCATGCAGAAGTGATGGTAATAGTGTGCTGGCACCAGTGAGGGGCAACGTGATTCCTCTGTCTTGGGCCATGAGTGCGCAGGGGGTAGGAATAATACAGAGGCTTGACTCTTCAGCCAGCTAGGAGGGACCATGACAGCCCAACCTCAGCTGTTATCATCTCCACAATCCTTTTTCTTGGCTCCAGATACACAGCACCTCTCATGGTGTTACCTGGGATCTTCCCCCCACCCCTGAGCTCCGGCGTCCGATCCTGGGAGGTGCCCCACAACTCCGTATTTAACAACCCTAAAGCCTTGTCAGCTCAGACGAGCCAGAGCTTATGCAAAACGAGGCAGCTGCTGCACGCGCCTCTTGCTCCTCTCCCCCTTCCCCGCACAGGCGAAGAGCCACAAGCTCCATACCACGGCAGTTGAGCTTCTCGCGGGTCTCAGTGCCTTCCACCTTGGTGCCGTTTTTGTAGACGCACCAGCAGTAGCCCGTGCTGGCATGGCACTGCTTGGGGAGGTAGTCTCCATTTTCATCACACTGTGGGTGGAATTGGCCTGGG